GTATAGAACCTTCTAACTACTCTCAACATCCCTGCACCCTATAGGTCTCTTGCTAAACTGTCCAGTGGACAGGAGAGGGAAAAAAAGAAAAAGTTATCACAATTTGTACATTTTGAGAACAGGTGCTACTTGTACCCTGCTATTCTAGGTACTATTGCACTTATGCGTTACAATAGACAGCCATATGTGCACCTCAAACTGCAGATTACTTCAAATTTAGCACTGATTTTCACCCCAAACAGATACACAATTCAAAAGTAGCCAGGGGCAGGTTTTATTCTGTTGCAGTGCTACTTTAAGAGCTGGGGAAGGATTTCATGGATAAAGAAGCACTCGTAGGGCCTAGTCAAACTATCCAACATAGCTTTTTGAATGGGCTGGCAGTAGACATGTATCATTTTTTAATGCAGCACACCACAATGCAATGCACATCAAGAGCTGCAGTGCAGTGTCCTTAGGCCACTACTGTGTAATATGTTGGGGTACCATTCAAAATAAATGGCACCTTAACACACAGTGCAGGTGTTGCCATGTGTTGCGGTAACATATGGTAAAACAAATGGACTCTTATAGTAAATCTGTCTCATAATCTATCTCACTGCTTCTGATAAGCATTGCCTTGCTGTGCGACAGAATTGATACCTGTCCCCCACAGTGTACATCCTCACTCGGTGACTGACGCTGTGACCATCCAAGACCATAAAATTACACAGATTTGGAAGAAATCAGTTTGCTATTGGATGCACTAAATTATGAACTGAGCTATCATTTGTATTGTTAAAATTAAATTTAAAATATTAAGTAAGGTAAGTAATAGTGATAGTGGTTAATGAGTGCTGTTCAACATGGAAGAAAATGGAAATTCTTGTAAAATCCATAACAGCAACAGATCTGCATTGAATTTCAGGGAAAGGAATAAGGAAGTAGACGTGTCAAAAGACGCATCAGGTATTGTGGGCAGTTACTTTACAGAGTATTCCAGTAGTTGCTGAAGTTATTATTCCAAAGGGCACATTTTTCACTTGGAACAAATAACACTGACAAGCAGGGGTGGTGTAGCTGTGCATGACTATTTCCCATTTACTGAGGATTCCTAACTGGATGCCAAATCGCTAATGTGACAGCATGGTTCTGGAATGCTTAGTGCTGAATATCAAAGCCTTATTGTTTAGTGTATGATCATCACATGAATAAATTAAATTAGTGATGTCTTCTTCACATGATTCAGTTTTATTCTGCTATGTGTAGCAAACTTTAGCATTTTTAGCACTACAAGAGACTTGCTCATGGTATGTGTTCAAATGCGCTGGTACCTATAGCAAGTATTGAAGCATGTGCTTTCATCCTTTGCATTGTGCCATAAAATGTATCGCAACAAACCTATTTTTGGGGGGATGGAGAAAACAAAATGGGGTTAGATTTTACTGGTTTATTTGTTGATCTCCATGCTGGGATATGGTCATATGCTATAACACTGTAACACTTAATATAATAGTTCTGGTTTAAAGTGCACCTGTGCCCAGACTATGGGCACTAATCTATTTATATATTGTTATACAAGCAGTACAAGCCATTCCTGACCTCTCTAGATGCGTTTAATGCAAAGTTTAATGTGATCACAACAAAGACTCTAGAGTTGGGTTTTAGTTGGTTTCTAATAGCTTAAGCTGCCCATACACCTTACAACCATCGCACGACTACCCTTGTGCAATGGTTGTAAGGTGATTAAAATTTTGTACGATCTTCCCATCTTGGGCAGGCAGATAGTACTTGCGATCATCGCAAGCCCTACCCGCTGAGGGGAGGGCTTCCGATGATTGCAGTGCTGAGCGGGCAGTGTACGTCTTCCGAGCACGCCACCAACCCGCCGATTTTTGGCAGGTTTTCCAGCGTGCTCGGAAGATGAAAGTTGTGCGACCTTACAGTAGAAGTAGAATACTTTAGGTTCACTTTAAATAAGTTTAAATTAGTGCCACATAATTCTGCTTTTATATATTTTATTGATGGGGCTAGTGTGAATATCTATCCAAAAGTGTAATTTAGCATGTTATGGGTCATTAAACCTTTATTTAGCCGCATCCATGGAAACAAAAACTAGAGATGCACAGATACCAAGTACTGTACTTGGTACAAATACAGATACTTTACAGCTCCAAGACTAGACTAGAGAAAAACTCAAAAGTTAGGAGGCAGCTGTCATTTGTAAGGAGCATTGGCTACGGGGCTACAGGTATTTGTGCATTAATGTTTTAATGTATGATTTGTTTTTAATATTAATATATTAGGGATGCCAACGATACCATTTTTTCCAGACCAAGTACAAGTATCGATACTTGTCCAAGTACTAACAGATACCAATCACTGACACCGTTTTTTGTATTGTCATGTATTGTCATTTTCTAAAACAATACAGACTAATGACTTCAGGACAGTGGTAGAGTACCAGGGCCCGGTCCTAGCTGCAACCGCGGCTAACCTGATAGTTCTTGTGAAAATGCCAGGTATCTGCACTGATATCTGAACTGGTATCTGTGCATCCCTAAACAAATACAAAAAAAAAATCAAAAATATATTAAAAGGAGAAAATATACAATGATAAATTATCTTAAGCTGATAAGGATAATTAATGATAACATTTGGTTTTCTATTTTTTTTTTTTTTCATAAAGAGTGTAAGGCAAGGGATGAAATGGCAGCAAGCAAAATCATTTGGCATATCTGATGTAATATATGCAGACAGTAGAGATATTAAAAGCATGTTCAATAATTCATTAATATTTATACTGAGGATGAGATTTGAAAAGCTGTTTTCTGTGCAAATGAGACAGGTCTTAGATGTGTTTGATCAAACAGTGATAGGTAAAACAGCAAGGAAATAACAGGAAACTATGTTTCCCAACTTTTCAAGGTTGTGTTTAAATATGTCTGGAAAACGAAGGCTGACACATATTAGTGAGCACACCACAGTACTAAAATTGAATGGATAATGGGAGTTACATAAGGCAGATCGTAACTGATCATACCTGATGCACTGACATTATATCTCAGCATGACTCATGGCACAGAACTTAATAAACATACTATAATTAAGGAAATGCCACAGGAGGCTGTACAGTAAAAATATTAAAGGATATCAGAAGGCTTTTGTGTAATTTTAAACAATCTATTATTCTTCCTGTAGATGTACAAACCCATGCAGCCACTGTAAGACACAGTACTGCCACATTACCATTCATTATAAGGCGTAGTTCATAAGGCAAAGAGCAACGTGCAAAGTGCAGTAATCCATAGCAACCAGTTAGGTTCATTTTGCACTAACATGACTTTGGTAAGCTGAAAACTGACTAGTTTTCATTGCATATTAATGAAAAATGATACTGCTCTTTGCGCTGTTTTAAAGAATAAACCCAATTATATCACCCTATCGTGCACTGTAGACAGAGAGTAACTCAACATGTACTGTTAGTCATATATTATACCTTGGCTACATACATGTTGGTAATTTTGTTATGGGTGAGATGTAAAGTGTTAGATGAATTTAATTAAGTACTATGTTTGCACTGTTGTACAACCATAATACTCTCACAAATCTGTTTGCACGGAGTTGAGGAGCTTCCCATTTAAATAGGCAACTTCTCTGGCTATTTTGCCTTTCTGTTGAAGATTCTTATAAAGATGCTACTGTTTGTACTGACTATTTAAAATCCAGTATTTTCCTGTTGTCATGATTTTTGTAATGCATTAGCTTGTGCTGTACAACCAACTCCTTTTAACCACTCCCTAGCATGTATGTCCTAAATGACTGCCCATGCATACATACAAAGATATCATAATGATTTCAGAACATAAGGCAAACGAGTAAAATCCACATGTTTAGTGTGGAAAAAAATCTTCTATTTTTTTTAAAGAAATGTACATCATGAAAAAATATATTTTGCCATAAACTATTTTCTCACCTGTCTGTAACCTTTATAAATATGTAATTTTCAAGTATGGTATTAAAGGTGGTAAGGTAACAAATTTAAATAGCTCTGTATTCTCTAAACAGCGTTTTATCATAAAACCTGTTTCCTTCTACAGTGCATGTAGGAAGACTGAAAAGACAATCAGCATTTAAAAGCCTATTGTATAAGTGATTCCAGGTGTACAGTCACTTTTGTACATGTCATGGCATTTTATATCAGAGATAAAGAAACAATACAATAAAGGGCAATATTTAAGGCAAGCAGCCACTCCACACCCTTCAAAATATTTTACAAATATTTCTAGGAAAAGGACATGAACTGAAATATTGTAGAGTTCATGTACAGTGGAGAAAGTAACCCAACCAACTCAGGTTTGATTTTGGTAGCTTGGTCTGCTGAATGCCCCAATCTAATTGAATCTGACAAAGGCTTACAATAGGTACTTTAGGCCTAATAGAATAGATACTTTAGGCCTTTTTTTTGCCATTAAATGGCCCATTTGTGGCTAGCTTAACCAGCGACCGATTGAAATCGGAATATCAACTTCTATAAAAACTGATCATTGATTGATGCGATTGATGCCTATAAGTAAATGCACAACATTGTTATGTGGACTATTGTTCCAACCCTAAACCCTGCTCCATACATGTTAATGTTTCAGCAATACTTTAATTATTTGTTCTGCAATTGTGATTTAAAATGATTAGTTATGTGCCATAAGTAATACAGCAGCATTTTACTGTTTTAGAACTAGAGTATTGTTATCTCCATATTGGGTAGACTTCTTATATAATTATATGACATTATATAATTATATGATTGCTTAGAGTCACAGATGTTCAACTTTGTGATCCTAAACAATGAAGTAGACAGCACATATGGTATATGATAAAATAATATATGTATAAAAAAAAAAAAACAATTTCAAGGCAATGTAGATATCCACTCCCAGGTCACAGTATTGTACAGCTCATATCATTGTATGTGATACAAAGTTGGCAGTGTCTGTGCTGTTGGGCTTAAAGGAGAAGGGCAATCACATTACAATACAGCATTTACAGCGAGCTTTCTTTTCTGTACCTGTAATGGGTTCTGTGGCTAGACTCTCCTCTTTGCCCTCAGGTGAAGAGGGTTCTGTGGTCTCAGTGAGAAGCTTCCCAGAGACCAGTTCTGCAGCATTTCCATCCATAGTTGACACATCAGTTACTGTCTTCTCCCGCAAAGACTTCTCATCATCTTCATCAATGAGAACAAGCTCAGCTTTCATAGTGTCATCAAAACCCAACACTTTTTTAGTCTCTTCCTCATCATCTATATTTTGATAGCCCATGAAGATCATTGTCACTGGTTGCTCCAGCGAGGCCTCGTTCACATCACTTCCACCACTTCTCACATGTTGTTGTCCAAGTTTTAAAGGAAACCCTTTGCTTGGTTTATGCACCATTTCTAGTTTAGCTTCCTTAAAATGCAATTGCTCCTTCATGTGGCTAGAGATTCCTTCATTGGTAAGAGTTCTCTTGGGTAAAATGTCTTGCCCTGCTAATTGTGTAGATTTCTGTATAAGATCATCTACATCCCTTGTACTTAATTTATGGACACCATTTTCTACCACAGCACCTGCATGGTGAAGCTCATAAACTACTTTGTTACCATCATCAAAGACTTTAACTCCTCTCTGGTGGAACCCCTCTGAGTCAATGGCAGCTGTAGAGAGAATCTTGGTCTCTCCTGTCTTTCTGTCTTTCTCCACATTAATTTCCATGGCGTACAATGCTTAAAACAGAAACAAGAAAGGAGGTGCATGTTACAACACATAAAGCAAGTGAATGGTTAATTGGCAAACATACAGGGTAATGTGCACTAATACTGCAACAATCTAACATTAAAAGCACAATGTGTTAACACTTCAGTTGACAGGAAATTTGTTAAACTAAATATTATGTGTGACCAAACATCAGACAGACATAGGTTGAGACAAATCAGCTGTGAATTGTTACAGTAAGGAATCCAGATGAAAAGCATCGTGATATTGCCACATAAGACATATAACATTGTGTAGATCAGTGTGACATGCACTAATGTGAACATAGACACTGAAATCATACCTGCCACATCTCCAAGTATTTTCTAAATCCAGAGTTGTATACTGTCATACTCTATATTGTCTAAAAATTATTGATTGAATTTTATACCTAGTACTAAAACATTCTAAAATTCTAAAATTCATCATGGTTTCAGAAGAAGTGTGCCACAAAGGTTAGGGCTAGGGAGCTACCATTGCCAGCTGAGATTTAACCATGTCCTCCCCATTCTTTACCTTTGCTCCACCACAGATCAGTTCAGCTGCCAGGAGGGAAGAAAATACCTCATACTTCTAGGTATGAAGGGCATGTTCCTAGTTTCCCTTCCCCTCATATGACAGCGCTGGTGTTGGTGTTAGATCCAGCATTGTAACTTGGGGTCAAGTGACAGAGTTGTCAGCGCTGTTTTAGCACAAGGGCTTTTGTCCTTAATCTTGACCACTGTATTGAATGGCAGGGTAGTGAAAGGAGTTGAGTATGTTCACCTAGGGAGGGGGGCATCAAATTGCATATATTGCTTTTACTATAAGCTAGCACACTTCAAGTACACTGGTTAAACAATTCACTAAAAAAAATTAAAAGACAAATTAATGGAATTATCACAATTTACAAAAAGTGCATGCATATCTTTATTACTTGTATGCTTTACCTGTGAAATACAAGACCTATGGTATTGATACATATGGGTGTATCAATAGTGAATCCTTTACAATTGTGACACCATTCTATGTCTAAACACATTTGCTTTAGTACCCCAATAAGGCATTTTTGCCATATGATTCTTCTGACTTATTTCATGTTCAGTTAGCATTTCAGTTCTGTTTTGTCTAACAGTAACAGTGTAGACATATCTTTGACAAGGACTTTGCCATCAATATAATAAAACATACAGTATTCCTGTAGGCCAAACATCATATTTTTTCACAATTTTCATTAATTCAAACTGAGAAGCTTAAGTACAGTACACTAAAACAATATTTCCTGTGGTGCTTGGGAGCATAGTGAAGACATAAGTGTACTACAGTGAAGGAAGAGCATGATGATTAATGTATCTGACATCTTTTGTCTGGAGTAAAGGCAAAAACCATGTAGAATTTATACAGATTAGGGAAAGTCTGACTGTGAGTTTAAGGTCAGCAACTGAACTATGCCTGGAAGGGTAAAACAAATAAAAATGGAACAAATTGCATAAAATGACTGTGCTGGTAGACTTTAGCTTTATTCTGATGTGCCTAAAAGGATAAATATAAACTAATGTAGTTTATAAATTAAAGCACTTATGCTTTGAAATATTTAGCAGAAGATAGCCATAAACTCATTGTAAATGCAGAGCAACACTTTATTAACCACTTTAGTACTAGCCTGTATATAAGGTTTCATTACCAAGCCCCCTAAAATAAAATCCTAAAATAATTGGCATTTAATGGCACTTTAACCCCCATACCCCGCCCAAAAAGCAATCCCACTAAAATACTCCTTTCTGCTGTGTTTCCAAACATGCAGCTTATTCAAAATGGAGGCAGTTAACTTCCTCTGTTGTTAATGAGCTCACTATTTGTAAGCACTAGCAGTTTCTACACTTGTGATATCTGTGATTGGTTCACAGTAATCACTATACCAGCTCAGAGCACAGCCATTCATAGGTGCAATAGCCACCCATGTGTGTTTTCGGCGCTTCAGAAAATAGCATTTACCATTATGCTGTTTCTTTATGATACGGCTGTACTGAGGTGATTAATGAATGGATCAGAATGCCATTCAAAGGACAGTAGACTCTATCACTAGGGGGGCCTTTGATGGACCTGTAATTCCATGTTTCACACAATAATGACCTAGATAAGCAGGCCTGCATAAAAGTGGCACCCCCCACAGCAAGATTATATGGGCATTTTCACAAGCCCCATCTGAGAACTGCAGATTACTTTTCCCTAACTCCCTACTGTAGGTAAGCATCGGAAAGAATGCAGAAACACTCTCCTGTCTTGCATACACTAAATAGACACTAAATAGTATAATCAAATATACTGTATGGTGATATATTTAGAATTATGCTTCCACTGGCACATAAGAGCTTGAATTTCTGAACAGTTATATATTGTCCATGATCTGCTTAGGTCATAGAATTTTGGGGTCAGTGTAAACATTGGGATGTATCCAAATTGAGAATTGTAACTGATATTTGATGAATTGCTATAGCCACCCTTAATGATGACATACCACATGGCAATGTGAGATGTTTGATACTGAATGTTTCTGTCCAGTAAGAGCTAATATATACAAGAATGGGTGAGATGTGATAAAGGAAAATTACACCAAGAAATTAGTTTTGATCTTCTATTTATTCAGTTTTGCAGCACAGAACAAAGAATAATTGTATGATATGTTCTTTACTGTACTCTACGTTTACTAAATGCATATAGATCTAAATATTATATAACATAATGTCTAAATAACATTACATGTATTACTGAAAGCAAGCTGCCCAAAAGGATGTAAATGGTATACATTTTATATGTTTTTTATGTAAATATTAATTCCCAGTGTAAAAAAACTGTTACTCTAGTCTGTAGCTAAAAGTATGATGACTGTTTTACATACATTGACCAATTATCCAACTGCCTGTTTGTTCACGTTTATACAACTGCCAGTTTGTGGCCCCCCAAAAAGTTACAATTGCCTGTCTTATGGAGAATGTATGTTCAAGTAAAGAAAATGGAGAATGAAAGGGCAGCCATGCAGAAGATGATCTAGATCCGTGGTTCGAGACTCAAAAGTGGGTCACAACCCCATGTTCACTGGGTCGCTGGATGTCCTCCACTGCGCTCGGTGAAAGGTTCCCCAGCCTCACCCTAGCGCAGCACTGTCAGTTCTTGCACAAAGCAGCCATTCAAAATATGCTGTCCAGCGCCGAGTGTCAGCTTGAGGTGGGGTGGGCAGCGAGGTAGCTCTATCCATAGGTGCATTGCACAGGTTGAGAACCACTGATCTAGATACTCCATGTGGTTAGGTAAGTTGAGTGCCTGTCATGGAGGGATGCCAAGAGTTTCTTAATGCACTGTATGAGTGGGAGTTCAGGGAACCACTCTGAGACAGTCAGGGCTTTTGTACATTATCAATGGAGAGGGTTATGGTCTGTGTCACCGGTAAGAAAAATCTGAGGAGGCCTTTTTTGGGTCCCAGAATGTTTGAGAGGTGGGTAATCTCAGGACATAAAAATATCAATAATTTTTGTCCAATATTAGTTTAAGCTCATGAATACTACTGAAACAAATTGTGTGATATAGAGAAGCATGGGGGGTTTCAATTATTCTAGGTACATCACTGAGCCCAGTATACAACTATCTTCTCCTTTAATAATAAAAAGCCCATTTCTGACTTCATCTTTTTAATTAATTAAATTATCCTTACCCTTCTCTTTACCAAAACCTCAATCTTCACAAGTAGATCTCAGTACTTAAACAATACACCCGGAGCTTTAGGAGAAGCTGCAGGCTCTCTACATCCGCGTCTTGTCACCGTACTGCTCTACAAAGATGGTGCCGGTGTAGTCGGCTGCCGTCACGACTGCTCTGCAGTCGTGTAAGCATTTCACTGCATATCATACTTGTACGATTGTGTATGTGACAAATAAAATCTATCTTTCTATCTATCTATCTATCTAATATCTTAAAGCAAAGATGAACTTTTCTCTCATTTTTTGCTCTGAACACCTTCTACCCATTTGCCATAAAAAAACCAACAACTTAAAACCACTTTTTACTCATCTTTGTCTGCTGTCATATTTCCGTTGTTGCAGTCTTTAGGACCTGAGAGGACACCACAACTGGACAATCATTGGAAGTGCACACATCACCCAGGCAGTGACGCGGGCACCAAGAGAAGGATTTTCCCACTCTGCAGTGAGAAGGTGAGGAGACTCGGCTTATTTTATGACTATGTATTTAGGTAAGTAAAAGGGGCTTTTTAGATTAGGATTTTTTTTTTAAATAACATGGCAGTTAGTTAGTTAGTGGGGTAAGGTGTGGAGGACTTGATGCCCAGAAATCATCTTCAAACTGAAGATTTGCTAGTAGCCAGTGATATGAAGACATGAAGCAAAGCACTTCCACAAACTGAAGAACAATGTCTAGAATTACAGAGATTTGTATTTGTTTTGTGCCTTTTAACTCTTTCTTGTGTTGATTTGTGCATTTTACATGATATACACCATTTATGTGTCGTCAGTACCCATGTATTATCATGAATAATGTTTATAAATTATGTTAAAGAAGTGTTACAAAACTTCTTTGATTCTATATGAATAAAAAAAAACTTCCATTCTCAAAGTATCAAGGTTCCTGACGCTCATTTTCCTCAGACAGAAAATCGTAGGGCAAATGCAAAGTGTCTATTAAGCGTTTTATAATAATATTTCCACAAAAATGAGAACTGAATTACTTAAACAGTGACAAAAAGCCCAATAAAATGATGGCATGATAGGGGGGAAAAAAGAAGAACAGTCCTTTGGGAGAGTTACTCTGAAGTTTTGCATTGTTTTCATAAATACATTTCTATATTGTGATAAAACTATTACCATGTATTTTGCCATAACCTCTGTATATTTTTGGTAAACAAGAAATAAACCATAAAAGCTAATGGAGAAGGCAATGGAATTCTAATGATCCCCTAAACATGATTAGGTATGTCAAACAAACAAAGGTTTGTTAGACCAACATAAAATTACTTATTTGGTAAACTGCCTACTAGCTGTTCTGCCCATTCTGCAAACCTGGGTTTACTTGTAACACCCAAACACATCATAGTATATGAAAACTCACAAACTAAACTCTCATAAAAAGCTTAAATATACTAATGGAATTTCAAAAATCATTTACAATATTCTAAATTTGTAGATTGCATTAGTATAATACTTGGTGACCCTGCCATGAAGGTCCTTGTTCAGACATTTGCTATCCGTGTCTCATAGTTCTACTCCTGTATTGTCAGCCTCTAATATGGGCATCCAATGGTGACTAGACATGACTGTTAAACAAATATTATGTAGGCAGGGTTCAAAATTGTCACCATCAGAAAATTCACCATGCAAAATACCATGCAGCCGTAGCTGGAGTGCATGCATGTATACAGGAAGTTGCCGCAAAGATACAGCAAAGAATGAAAAAAATGGAAACAGGTATTTTATCTCAAAAAAGGGCAGTTATTTATAATATACTTGGTTTTAGCAAAGTAAATGTCTTTCAGTTCGGGTTTACATCTACTTTGAGAGCACATCGCTTTTTGCATACCTTTGAAATGACACTAAACTCAAGAGTTAAATCCCACAAATACATTCATGTACCCTAACTATTAAAAATACTGCACCTTATTTGTGCATCACCCGGCTATAGATCCTCCAATCATCTCTGAATTGGTGCTGACACTGTCCTTCCTTCTGGAGGGTGGCTACTTTTGCTTCTCATGGTCCCTGTGTGTATTGTAAAGTAGTCCCCTTTCCAATCTCAATACAAATTAGTAAACTAAACATGAGATACTAGTCCATCCTGGGAGTGAGCTTGGGGTGGTGGCTCCTTTACAACAAACACACAGGAACCATGGGGAACAAAAGTAATCACCCTCCAGAAGGAAGGACAGTGTCAGCACCAATTCTGAGATGATTGGAGGATCTACAGCCCAGTGATACACAAATAAGGTTCAGTATTGTTAATACTTATGGTACTGAAATGTATTTATAAGATTTAAAGATTTATGTTTTGTGTTACTTTAACCTGAATAGACATTGAAGTAAACAATGTGTGGCAGTAATGGAGTCACATCTACAAAATCACTTGATCAGTGTACCAATGTTTAGTTCAAGCACAAAGGGTTAATGAAACATTATGAAGTGAATCCAGAGGGCTTGTTCACATGTCTCTGTCTCTCTTGTTTCTCACATCTCAGTTTTTAAAAAGATAGGTCAGAGGTAAAAGAATGATGAAGAGAAAAGTAGGGCTACATATTGTACACCTGTCTTTAGTACATAGACCCATTTCTGATACACACATGGCTATCTTGAGCTTTTAATGTCAAGGCCAAGGCTGTATTACTTAATCTGCAGGATTTTCTATCATCTAGAAGAAATAAATGACAGCCCAAGAGCAAGAACATGAAATCCTCAAAGTAACCTCTATGCAAAGGGTGGAGACAGGAACCACACTGAGACTGAATCATGCATAGAAATCTGCCACGTAAATCACCAGTGTCCACTGAAAACTTGAAGGAAACCTTTCCCATGTCGCTGTCATTGCTGACTTCTGTTGGTTGACCCTCTTCCTGCAATACTCGTACACACTGACCTGGAACAAGTGTTAAGATAAAGACTTCTGACTTTTTTTCTGAATTCCCCGATGTGCATACTTGTTCCAGGTTAGTGAATAAACTACCAACTATCATTTTCAGGAGGAGGTCAGCCATAGCAGCCCCCTGGTTTTATTAAGGGAAGATTACTTAACGTATTACACTGGTGTTGAATACTTTAAAAGCAGTATAAATGTATTTTCTATTTCATTTGACTTGGTAGATTCATAAAAGGCTTAAGACCAATAATTCATAATCCTACTAAACATAATAATAATATTAGCATGTTCAAAAATAATAAGGTTTAAAATACATCAGTCAGACACATATCTATTTGCCTAACTGAGCATGGATAATTTAATTTCACAGCTTCAAAGCTTTGACTTTTTTTTACATACCATGCAATACAGTCTTGTATATAGTGCATCATAACTATGTATCAAAATTATATTTGACCTATTATTTAGTTAAAGATCTAATATACTTACCAGGTACCTTTGTAGTTCCGTCACAAATCAGTGAAGATTCTTGATGTGAGTAAAGGTTCTTGAGGTCAGGGATCTGGGAGTAGATATAGTTCACTGCATCTGCTATAGGTAAAAAAGCAAACAAAGTTAAGTTAGAAGCATTGTGGAGCCCAGCAGCCAGAGCTGTGCTTAGACAGCAGTAGAGAGTTAACTTATCAGCGGGCACAATAGGCATGAGAGCGTTCTACTGAACAGCTGGATCAGAGGACACAAAGTGGACATTCATTGCCTTGTGACTAGACTTCAATAGACTAGCTGAGGTAGGAGGGAACAGGTCCAGATCCCTCAAGCTTTGTAACTGGTTCATGTAGTTTTGTGGAACTTCTGGATTTATTATGACCAGTAATGTAATATTCAACTGTTTTATACTAAATAAACTATAATTACCTACATTTTTGCTTTGATACAAAATATTAAGAGTAAAATCTCCACAAAAGCACTGGAAACCCTAAATTACCACTTGCCCTTTACTGAAGATTCATCAGTTAAATATCTATGCATGACAGCAAGAAACTTCTTACAACTGTAGACATTTAAAGGAGAACTATGAGATGAGTGATTTCCACTCACCTCATAGTTCTAAGCCGACCTGTGACAATGAGACTGTCACAGGTCGGCTCAGTAGATCGGGAGGTGAGGGAACACATACCGGGTTCCCTCACCTCTCGATCCTGTCACGGCTCTCTGCCGTGACAGGGGGAGACGCTGGATTCCCCTCTCCCCGCTCCGATCTGCCAGCGCTGACTGGCGGAACGGACGGGGGAGGGGGCGGGTACAGCTGGCTCTGCCTCTAGATAGGCAGAGCCAGCTGTCACTCACGCAGCTGGGCGGATCCCGTCAGCTACGTCGGGATCCGCTCCAGGTGCGGCGTCTCAGTATACCGCGAGTAGCTCGCGGTATACTGAGCTTAGGGTAACGGGATGACGCTAGTTTGTGTCCTCCCGTTACCCCAAGGAGAACTATGGGGAAAAACACTGACCCCATAGTTCTCCTTTAATGAAATTGTTCATCCCGTGGCAGATGTTTTTGCATACAGGTGCCCTTTTGTTGTATGCTGCATAGTAATGCAGACAACCACATTTACCATTAAAGATAACCTAAAATCATATAGCCCAAGCTTTAAAGCATTTTCATGTAAGGTACCTCCATGTAAATGCTACATGTACTACAATGTATCAGAAGCAATCCATCAACACAATGGAGTTGATATGCTAAAGGAGCAGAGACTGTTCACTTTGCATGCTCACTGTTAAAAGTGAAACTAAGTGAAAATTCTCTTTGCAAAGAATACTCAGGTTTGTGCAAGGAAAGATGACATCCCCCTATTAATGTTAAAATAAATACAATCATCTTTGGCATCCCTCTGGACATGTACTGTCCCACTTTCTGCACCACTATATTATATTCAAAATGCTCAAAATTGTTCACAGTTTATATATATTTCATTATAGGCTACCTGGAAAAAAGTTTGTTTCCTGACCAGTGTGAACAAGGGACAGAGAAAATGCTGGCTGATAAAATATTTTACTCACAGTTACTGACATTATTTTGTTTCCTTTCTGTGATTATGAATGTGATTAATTATTGCAAGAATTGGAAAACAATGGATCAGAATAAGCAAGGGGGAAGCAGAATTAAGAGGTAACCTGATGACATCAATATCCCAAGAAAGCAGTGAACCGCCTTGACACAGAGGATCCTTCACAATGTAAACATTTTCTGCACAATATATTGCATTTTGCTTATGTTGTTCGGCCACTCATGTGACTATGTATTATTTACTTTATCAATATTAGACATATATTCAAAATGTAACCTTAAACTTTGTCTTAGCTAGGATGTGCATGGTTCTACCAGAGTTATATGCTTGCCCCTATTCCTTCTGCAATTGCAAAGCTGCTGCAGGGACTTCCCTGGAATAATTTGCATTACATTATACATTGCCATAAGGTGCAGAATCTGTGCAATTGATAAGAGTATTTTTATGTAGCTTTATAATCCTACAAAGTCATCTCTAATCCTGCTGGGACCACCAGGGAAAGAGTGACAATATATGTAAGGAATGGAATTGTATGGGTTCAATAAGATGGGATTGATGGCTCATCCTATAGGCACTGAGTAATATTTTATCCAGTTACACTTGCAAAGTAGTTAACTTAAAGAAGTCTCACCTTGTATTATTTTTCACAGCTCAGGCATCTAACTCCCACAGTGTATTTTGCTTTTTTATCTCATGCTTCTGTGTAGCGTAGAAAATGAGATAGACTTTGACAGCTCACATCTCTTCATTCCCGACCCCATTCTGCAAAGAAGATGGCCTCTTGATTGACAGTTCTTATCACACTGTCCCAGCACATTACAGACACAAGCAAGGTCATAGGAATGGAAAGGAACAGGGCACACTCTTGGAGAAATCAGCACAGGCACTAGAACTGGAAGGGGAGCCCTGTTTTGTGTCTGGAAAGTGCAGAGACAGTCTGATAAGAGCTGTCAATCAAGAGGCCAACTCCTTTGCAGAGTGTGTTTGTGAATGAAGAGGAATGAAATGTCAAAGTCTGTATCTCTGTTCCTACTCTAAATCAGCATGGGATAAAAATCAAAATACCCTGTGGGAGTTAGGAGATTGATCTGTGAAAAATAATACAAGGTTAGACTTCTTTTAGACTTGCAGTTGCCAGGTATAGATTTTCCTATTAATTGTAAAGTAAGCATATGGAGTGTGTACTCTTTTAGTGCTAGAATTGTGTTTGATTTTGCTGAAAAAATTTAACCTATTTTGTTGCAATAAACAGCAGGTATTGCAACAGGTTTAGAGGCTAGTAATAAACTGTCACAGCTTAAGCAAAAAGCTCCATAACCAGTGGACGAAGCCTGCAGACCTGGCCTAGCTTACTGTCACAGGAAGGTTAGAGACAACATTTGCCAGGGATGCAGTGTCAAAGGACTACCACTTTAGGTGATAATTGTGTCTGGAACTTATATTTGAGTCAATTACCCTAATAACATCTCTGACCCCTATCCCTATAGCCTAAAGCATTTGTCACTTTTTCAACCTGCAGGGCTGAACAAGAAAATGCGCTTGATTCCCCCATCCACTCTAAACAGCAAGGGGGCTATTGTATTCTGCTAACGGAAGGTGTGCCGCTGTCAGAATACCTGAACAGTGACTGCATTTTTTTGGCTGCAGGTATTGCTCAGCTAAGAGCTTTCAGGGGGGTGCCAGCAGGGCCACACTCTGCTCAGATTTGAGCACTGTATGGCCAGCTTAACCCTTTGCAACAGCCTTAACCTCTAATATGTGTCAAGACAAAACAATTGTATTTTTTAATTTTCTCAAAAAAAAAAAACAATTAATTGCGCCTTCTCTGTGCATAAATTGGAGGGTTTCAGAACCATTTTCAGAAATGTATAAAGCCTGACGAATGGATCTAAGGAGTTCCGAAAGCTTATATCATTAACAACTTCAGTTAGCCACAAAAAGGGTGTCACTTAATCTCCAAACTTTCTGCAAGATTAGGAAGCCACATAGAAAACTTGAACAGTTTTTACAGTATGGCAGTAATCCTGCTGAAAGAGGCCACTACCATCAGGCATTACCGTTTCCTTGAAGGGGTGTACGTGGTCAGCAACAATGTTTAGGTAGGTGATATGTTTCAAAGTAACATCCACATGAATGGCAGGACCCAAGTTTTGCCCAAAGCATCACATTGCCTCTGCCGGCTTGCCTTCTTCCCATAGTACATCCTGGTGTCATCTCTTCCCCAGTGACACACATGCACCTGACCATCCACATGATGTAAAAGAAAATGTGATTCATCAGACCAGACCGTCCTCTTCCATTGCTCTGTGGTCCAGTTCTGGTGCTCACGTGCCCATTGTAGGTGCTTTTACATAGTTACATAGTATTTGAGGTTGAATAAAGACACAGGTCCATCAAATCCAACCTATTGCGTGTATGCATGTGCTTCTACATGTGTTTGAGTCCATGTGCGATATTGTTCTTAAGTGTAGCTGTACCCCTTTATGTTACGGTCCCTGAGGAAATCGTCCAAACATTTTTTGAAAGGTTCCACACTCACCGATGAAATCACTGCTTGTGGCAGCGAGTTCCACACCCTAACCGCTCTAACTGAGAAGAATCCCCATACGCCCCTTGTGCTGAAATCTTTTCTCCACCAATTTTAGGTGGTGGCCTCTAGTCCTTGTTATGGAGTTTAGAGTAAAAAAGTATATTGCTGATGTTGCTATCCCCGTTGAACATCTTGTACATCAGAATCAAATCCCCCTTAATCTCCTCACTTCCAACGTGAACAAGTTTAAATTTATTAACCTTGTCTCATAGCTTAGGTCCTCCATCCCCTTAATTAGTTTGGTTGCCCTTCTCTGGACTCTTTTCAGCTCAAGGACATCCTTTCTGTGGACTGGTGACCAAAACTGAACCGCATACTCCAGATGAGGCCGAACCAGCAATCTATAAAGTGGCAAAATTATAGATTTGTCTCTACAGTGCATTCCCTTTTTAATACATGACAGTATTCTGCTCGCTTTGTTTACAGCAGCCTGGCACTGCAAGCTATTATTCAATCTGCGGTCTACAATGACCCCAAAATCTTTTTCCATTTCTGACTTCCCTAGGGGAGTTCCCATTAATATGTATTCCGCTTGCCTATTTTTAACCTCAAAGTGCATTACTTTACATTTATCGACATTAAACCTCATCTGCCATATAGTTGCCCACTCCCCTATTATATCCAGGTCTGCAATGCTATAGTGTCTAAGTCTGTGTCCATTACCCTCCCAATTTTAGTATCATCAGCAAACACAGAAACATGGCTATTTACGCCCTCCCCTATATTGTTGATAAACAGGTTAAATAACATGGGGCCTAGAACAGATCCCTGAGGCACGCCACTCATGACCCTAGCCCAATCTGAGAAGGAGCCATTTATCAATACTCTCTGGACACGTTCTTTTAGCCAGTTCTCTGTCCATGTACACACCATTTTATTGATGCCCATAGACATCAGTTTGTGTAGTAAGCGTTTATGCGGTACCGTGTCTTTTGGTGATGGACACAGGTCAGCATGGGCACCCTGACCAGTCTGCAGCTAGGCAGTCCCATACGCAACAAATTACAATGCTCTGTGTGTTCAGACACCTTTCTATCGAAACCAGCATTACATTTTATTGGACTACATGGACCAGCATTTGCTCTGCACATGCATTTATTTTGGTAGCCCATGACCCTGTCATTGATTCACCGGATTTTGGTTTTCCTTCCTTGGACCACTTTTGGTAAGTCCTGTCCACTGCAGACCAGGAACACCCCTCAAGAGCTGCAGTTTTGGAGTTGCTCTGACCCAGTCATCAAGGCATCACAATTTGGCCCTTGTCAAAGTAGCTCAAATCCTAAAGTTTAAACTTTTTTTTTGCTTCCAATACATCAACTTCAGGAACAAAATGTTCACTTGCTGCCTAATATATTCCACCCACTTCCGGGTGCCATTGTAAAGAGATAATCAATGTTATTCACTTCACCTCTCATAAGGTTATGGCTGATCTGTGTATTTCTAATATTGCTTGTTTTCAAAATCAAATCTAACGTCTTAAATTAAATAATACATGTGCACATTGAGTGGCCCAATAACATAACCAACATGCAATATATTGAAAATAAATTTTTAGCATTTTAAAGACAACTGTAATTTTGGGATATTCTGATCCAGTGTTTCCTGATTCTTGCAATAATTAAACACATTCATAAGAATAGAAAGAAAAAAGAATACTGTCAGCAATCATCAGTAAGGCAGAAGAAAAGTATTTTATCAGCATTGAATGGACTATAATTAGAGCTGCAGCTAACGATTATTTTCAAAATCGATTAGTTAGCCGATTATTAAGTTCGATTAATCGGATAAACAATAGAATACATTTTAAAAAATGGCTCTTCTCTGTGGAGTTGCCACTCCTTTTCCCTGTCCCTTATTCGCATAGGTGAAGAAAGAAACTTTGGGGTCTATTCACGAAGCTGCCGAAGGATCTAGCCGTAGCTTCGGCCGATCCTTCGGCTAGCTTCGGCCCCAACTATAGCCCGTCCAGCTCCCGATCTTGGCCGAGCGGCTAAGTCGAGCCGAAGGCATATGCTCGGCTCGGCTGAGCCGCGCTAATAGAAAAAAAAAAAAAAGTTTTTGCCCATTGGAATGCATTGCTAGATTCCTATTGGATATTTCAATTTGCAATAGCCAATAGTAAATGTCTTATTTGTATCAAATTAGATGGTGTATGTAGCAAATGCAGTAAAAATGCACTGCACTGCGTTTGCAGATCTGCTCCAGATCTGGTACAGACATGGTGTGAATACAGCCTTAAAGGAGAACTATGAGGTGAGTGCTTTTCACTCACCTCATAGTTCTAGCCGACCTGTGACAATGAGACTGCCACAGGTCAGCTCAGTAGATCGGGAGGTGAGCGAACACATACCGGGTTCGCTCGCCTCTCGATCCTGTCACGGCTCCCTGCCGTGACAGGGGGAGGGGCTGGATTCCCCTCTCCCAGCTCCGATCTGCCAGCGCTGACTGGCGGAACGGACGGGGGAGGGGGCGGGTACAGCTGGCTCTGCCTCTTGATAGGCAGAGCCAGCTGTCACTCACGCAGCTGGGCGGATCCCGTCATCTAAGTTGGGATCCGCTCCGGCTGCGACGTCTCAGTATACCGCGAGCTGTAGCTGGTATACTGAGCTTAGGGTAACGGGATGACGCTAGTTTGTGTCCTCCCGTTACCCTAAGGAGAACTATGGGGAAAAATACTGACCCCATAGTTCTCCTTTAACCACATAACCGTTTTAAAATGGTGCTGGGATAGCAGCTATTTACCCCAATGATGTTTTAAAACAGCGGCAGGAATCAGCGGCTCCTGTGGGGTGCTGGTGCAGGCTGAAACTACCGACTGTCTGTGACAGCTTGCACCAAAAACTAATCCCAAAAACTGAAACAATCAGGGCTGCGGATGCTTTTACAGCTCACTCCTTAGGGGCAAACTGTTGAAACAAATGTAAATAGAATGCTTCCACATTCTGTTTACATTGAAAGCATAGTAACATCATAAGTGACATAATTGAACACTCACATTTAGTACAGAGGCTCAGGCAGAGCTGTACTAGCTCTGTCCAGCCTCTCCATGCAGCAGTAGATCACTGCTATAATTATATATTGCTGGCTGATTCCATCCAACAATAGAGTACTAGTACAAATGATCTGTTGCTGCACAGCTGCATTGGGGGTCTGGAGAGTTATATAGAAAAGTCCAATGATTGAGCGCTCTCTCCTGGGGAATCAGGGTGTTGGTGAGCAGGTGTGCTGCTCCTGGTAAGTACGTACTGGGGTGTCCGACGTATGTGCTTTTGTAAACAAAAATGAAAATGAAGCGCCAACAACCTAGAGCAGTAGATTGGGTGTGTTGGGACAAGGAGTAAAATAGAATTGTCAATTCATCGAAGCCCTCATCCACCTTCCTACATGTAAGTATAATTTCTATTATACTCCTTGTCTCAATGCACCCAATTTACTGCGCTAGGTTGTTGGCGCTTCATTTTCCTTTTTGTTTCATTGGGGCTCTGGATCAGGTCTCCATTAACCACATCCAGACCCCTTATGAAAAGATAATGTTTAAAAAAAAAAAGGTGCCAACCCAACTGAATGTTATCTTGCTGTTAAACTAACAATTTGCACAAACAAATTTTTATTTAATGTAATGTTGAAAAGAAAATAAAGCCCCCTAAAAGAAAATGTTCACTTTGAGCCTTACCATTCCACTGTTACATAAAAGTCACATTAATGTGATATTTTATTCAGCCAACTTTGCTGATTATATTTTGTTATAAAATATAAATTCATGGGGATGCACAAATTACATAAATGTTGCGTTGGGAAAAATGACAGGAAAATGCATATTTTTTCTATTTCTTTTACTATTTATTCCCAATACAAACCAAGGAAATATAAATACATGTATCCAAATTTGCTACTAAATTAAAGCCCTATCTGTCCTAAAAAAAATTATTTATCATAAATTAGGATAGACTACAAAACCTAATATAACCTGTGAGGCCAAGACATTGCCAAAATGAAAGAAATACTCTGGGACTCAAGAGAGCATAGGGAGAAAAAGTGAAGTGGGTTGGCCCGCTTCGGCTTTCAGCTCGGTCGAGCCGAAGCATATGCCTTTGGCTCGACCGAGCTGCTCGGCCAACTTCGGGAGCTGTACAGGCTATTGGGAATCGACGGTACAGCAGCCCTTCAGTTCTACTGAACCAAAGGGCTCTGGCGGCTGAAGCTAGCCGAAGGGTCAGCCGGAGCTACTGCTGATCCTTTGGCTAGCTTTGTGAATAACCCCCTTAATTGTGCCCCATTCTCACATCAGCTGGTTATCTTGCACAGAATGAATGTACACGCAGTTTCTCTGGACAAATAGCTATGCAAATCTTTTATAAATAGACCTATAACACTTTGTGAGTTGAGGCATACAAGTGTAAGGTGGGTTTGCCTTGTGTTTGTGGTTTTTGGAGTTAGCAGGTTTTGATAGTCAACATGAAAGCCTTGTATTGTAGCTGTATGATTGCAGCAGATTAACATTTAACACCTAAACAATACACCTGCATATACTTATAATACCGATTTAACTTTGAAAAACATGTAAATGTAAAAACAAAATAGTACAGGAAATATCTTACCTTTATCTTGATTTGATAGACTCTGAGGAGAGAAAAGAAACTTGCTTTAGAACTTTTCTCATGATAAATGACTTATCTTCAAATATTCAGTGTAATATATAAGCCCTCAGCAATGTAATATCTATTTGGAACTACTTGAGCATTGTCCAATCCCAACAGCTCCACACATATTTATCTAAATCCACACTCTTAGGCAAATTAGGTAAATCCACTACTAAACCCAGTCCTTCGGGGGTCTGGAAAATGTTACCATCCCAGTAAAATAGAACAACACACTGAAGTTGTTAAGTTGTTCTCTCAGCAGCTCAGTTCACCCGACGCCTCCCTCCCAGCAGTGATGTGCAGCCTATCACCCGTCTAATTTTTCATGTGAGCACGGAAAAGATGCTGTTCTTGTGACAAATGAGGAATTTCCTCTCACTTCTTGTATCCCCAAGAACAGGGCCGGTGCTAGGATTTTTGCCTACACAGGCAAGTACTTGTCAAAATGCCCTGTTTTTTCCGCCCTCACCCTGCAGCGCCCTCAAAAAATCAAAGAGAACCTGCGGGGCTTTTAACCATTCCCTTCCCTATCCAAAACCCAAGATACCCTTTAAATTTGGACTTATTAATAAGTGGAATAGGTCCTGTACAATTCCACAGAACATCTACAGCATGCAAAAGTCTGACTGCCATGGATCGAAGAGACAGAAAGTTATTTTACCTTCTGTAAATCTACAAATGATACTTCAGTCTCTTTTAACTTCTCTCTTAGGATTTGTTCTTTGGCAGATATTAGTGATTCTTCACTTTCAAGTCGCTCAATGTCCTGCTCCAATCTGGAAAAACAGGAGGAAGAATTTACGTTAACAAGATTAAGATATTCACCCACTCAATAGATAGTCAAAAACATATTACTGTGGTATTAACAGATACTCACCATACTATGTAAAAGATAATTATATAAAATGACACATAATGGTTACATTACCATTACACAAGGCTGCCATATTGGCCCCGGGCCTGAGCCCTATCAGGTCAGCAGGGGGACCCAGCCAGAAGGCACTGCCTGTGGACAACTCAAGAGTCTTCCATCCTACCATCTCCTGGTCCCCTCCTTCAGCTCCGCATCCCTCTCTGACAACAGCAAATAAAATCCCTCATATCTGAAAGGGAGTGGGACATGTCTGGGAAGAGCTTGCAGAAAGGGAAGTTTTAAAATACAGAATGTGGGGTAATTGGGGATGCAGAGTGCAGGTAATGCAGGGGGGGGGACAGGTGTAGTGGGGGATGCAAGGGGTGCAGAATGTGCGGCAGTGGAAGATGCAGAGGGTGGACAATGTGGGGTACTGAGGGATGCAGGGGATACAGAGTGTTTAAGTATTGGGAATATAGGGAGTGGAGAGTGCAGGTGCTGCAAGGGGTGCAGAATGTTCGGGTAGTGGGTGGGAGGGGAAAATTGTATGGAGAAACACTGGGGGGCCTGTCAGGCAGGCTATATGGGGCCCCATGATTTCTTATTGTGGCCCTGTCATCACATAAACCTATGCTGGCAATACCTTATTCACTATTTAAGGCAATATAAGCAACTACACTTAAGTATAGCTACCAATAGCACAATGTATAAAATTCAAAATAGTAACAACAACATACAATGACATCCACAACTCTACCCCCAACTACATCTCCAACCCCATCTCAAGATATCACCCAAATCGTCCTCTCCCGCCCTACCAAGACCTCCTACTCTCTAACTCGCTCATCCCCTCCTCCCATGCTCGCCTCCAGGACTTCTCCAGAGCCTCTCCCATCCTCTGGAACTCCCTACCACAACCTATCTGGCTATGTCCTATTCTGTCTGCCTTAAGGCATTCCCTGAAAACTAACCTCTTCAGGGAAGCCTATTCCATCTCCACTTAAAAACGGTACATCTACACCTTTAGTTAGCTCATCCCTCACAGTTATTACCTTCTGTATCACTTGCACCTCATTGTAGATTGTAAGATCTCACGGGCAGGGTCCTTCTAATCCTTTTGTATGGTATTTTATTGTACTTGTAGGGTCTGCAAACTGCTGCAGGAGGTGGCAGCTTTCCTTGTATTATACAGCGCCTCCTAGCCGCAGCAGATCGTAGAAGAATTCATGCAATCAGCTTCATTTGCTGGGGGGAATGGGGCCTATTTTTTATCTAATTGGATATATTAGTTAGGATATATGTCCTAATTAATAACTGGACAAAACAATAGGTCACCCCAGAAGCTGCAGATCAAAGAAGCACAATAACCATTGTTCCAGGTGTTGATAAGTATGATGTCATTTATGCTGCATTATTACATGAGATGTTTAAATAAGAACAAAGCAGTGTTTTTACAGATAGCAGAAGATTGTTGAACATAGCATGGAAATAACTTCCTTCCTGATATGAGCAATAACAAATGAAGATATTTTGTTTTCTTCCTTAGATTGTAAATTATATTTTGACAAGGATTTAGGAAATATTAAAAAAATTCCTGACTGCAGTTTTGCAAGATGTTTTATTGCCAAAATACAAATATTGTCGGTATGCATAGCTACAAAAAAAGACCATTATTAGGCATGATAATATCTACTATGAGTGTCACACAGCGGCTATTTTAATAACAATCCATTGTTACGCTTTCAGTATTTAAAGCAAAAGTCAACTCTGAACTCTAGGGCGTACTTTGTGTATTTCCTCCAGATCTGTAATTAAACATGAATCTGTGTTGGAGCTCCCTATAATAAAGACTGGTCGCTGCTGTGCATGGTGACTGGTCTTGTCTCCACCCCCTCCTGTAGTTTTCTGCAGGCAGCCTGTAGTGGGTGGAGCACAACAATGAACACATTGATGATGCCGCTACTATTTTTTATATGGAAATACCAGGGTTTGCAAAGGCATTTAATGCACGTAAGATGAATTTATATACTATGAGGGTTATTCACTAAAGAGCTGAAGGATCCAGCCATAGCTTCGGTTGATCCTTCGGTTCTCTTCGGCCGCCGGAGCCCTTCAGTTCAGTCGGACCGAAGGGCTGGTGTAAGGGCTATTCACTATAGCCCATACAACAGCCAAAGGTGGCCGAGCGTTTCAGCCGAGCTGAAGGCATTTGCTTCAGCTCGACCGAGCTAAAGTGACAGCCGAAGCTGGGAGAATGGACTTTTAAATATCTTTATTTATTTTTTAATTTTACTATTTGTGTACATATTTTTTCAACCTTTTTTTCTCTCACTCTTTTCACTGATTTTCTGTGGTCACGGCCATGTGCTAGTTTTGAGCAGCTGATATCAAGCTGCCATCATAGAAAATCTCTCAAACTGTTACAATGATCCTGTTTTTAACCACCTTGCAGTGCAGGTGAAAACAGGTCTTGCCAACCAAGACATTGTTTCCCGGTGCCATGTAAAACTTACTAAAGAGATAGATAGATAGATAGATAGATAGATAGATAGATAGATAGATAGATAGATAGATAGATAGATAGATAGATGTATTCGCATTGGCATTTAATTGCTGAGGCTGCCTGGCTTCCTGACCAGTCAGGACTTAGCAATCAGTAAGTGCCGCTGGACTTACTGATTGGTTAGGAAGCCAGGCTGCTTAGCACCACGTAAAGCTGGCTTCCTAGCCAATCAGGAAGCCGTGAGGTGGGTCATAACTCACCGCCTGGCTTCCTTATTGGAAAGGAAGCTGGCTTCATGCTTCCTCGACACAGCGAGTCAGAGGAAGATCTCCCTCTAACTGGAAGTTCCGGTATCGGGGGTAAGTATCAGAGCATTTGGGTGATTACGAGTACTAGCCCAAATACTCAGTATTGACACCGAGTCAAAAGACCAGATGATTCACATCATCTATTGTTCTAAAGAACAGGGTTACTGGTCAGACTGGACTTTTACTCTTTGACAGCAGTTTTTTTTAATTCAAAGATTTTCCCTTCAATGCTAGATAACAGTTGTTCCCTTTAGAAATACTTTAGGGATTGGCATAGTAGTCTCAGTTTGCGTTGATAAGTGGGTGAAGGTTGTTTCCCACAGGAAGCAATTAGTGACGTCATTAAAGATGTCATCTTTGTAATCTACTTGGGAGTATCCAAATTTCTAAAGGGTAGACATTGAAACGGAAACTGAAATTACTAAATGGAAACAATTATGCATCTATTGCTCATTTGGCCTCTTTTCAAATTTAATCAGCAAATTAAGAGTACAGAATATGCTCAGATGTCATATGTTGTCACTCCAAACTTAGTTTAGTGTAGGAAGCTCAAGGACAAAATTAGTCAATCTCCAAGTATTAATGACACACATGAACTACTCCTCTTCTGCAAAATGTGAACTTTTATCAGTTGTTGTCAAAGAACTAAAGAAAAAACTGTGGACTGAGAATATATGGACAATTAATAAAATAAAATTGTATATGGGAACAATGATACACCCTTCATGCTATTTCAGATAAAAAATTCACCCATCAAAAACATACCCAGATGATTGTGCAGTCGGTTTCATTCTTTTGGGGCTGATTTATAAACCGTTTGCCCAGCTTTTCAAAGATTAATTCATTCCAAAATGGTTTTCACTGCATTTGATTATTTACTCTTTAGCTTAATTCTGGGCACAAAAACTTGAATTTCATAATATTTTTCAATTGCCACAATAGATGTACAATAAATACTCTATGTGCACTAAATACCTTGGCAAACCCAGTGATCAACTTGTAAAAGTAGCAGTGATACTGTACATACAGGGCAGTCCCTAAGGCATTTGTGATGTCGTTCGGGTGGT